TACTATGTAGTGATGTGTAGTTAGTAGTGATAACCGTGGCGCGTTTATATCTATGACGTAATTGAAGCCACGCCAACACCCATACTATAGAGTAAAATATATATAAATATAAAATATGTTTGTAATAGAGTATATATATATATATATAATATATATATATATATATATATATATATATATATATATGACTATCCGGTTGCCCCTGGCAGTTAGAACATGACTGGAAACATAATCAGACGCTTAATATTGATGATTGCGGTCATGCATCAAAGTCATTCTAAACGCGTGCTTTGGTACAATCTCTAACGCAGGCTTTCAGATGGGTGTTAGCGTTTATCTTGAGACATTTGACAACGTGCTACTTGGGGCCGGTTGGGGACCACAAGGGGCCTACTTGGGGACTGATGACGTACTGAAGCGGCAGACCGGGACGGCACCGCAAAGCTATCCGTGGCCAGCACTAAGTGTCTCGTGGGGGTACGGGGCCTCCACAAGGCAACGGGACCGCGGCATGGATCACGCCCTGTCACGAGTGAAGTGTCGTAAAAGTCGTGCTTTAAAGTCGCGTCGTGCACTCGTTTTACAGGACGGAGGGACGGCGCCATGAGTCCGTGGATAATATTGCAGGCCAATATTCATGGTGGGTTGTTTTTGCGCAGGGTGGCCCGCTCGGACAGAAGTGCTTCCAAATACACTACGGTGTGGGCTATAACTGCATTTGTTTGTCTTGGCCACTACAGTGTTTGCTTTGTGATAAGCCAGCCCAAGTGTATAGTTTAAGCATGTATTATTTATCGCGCAAGCATTGAGCTCCCACCAACGATAGCAAGGGTATCATTTTTGTTATCTATAAAGCTGCCGGCCACTGGTCTGAAGCATAGGTGCTTGCGGACGCTTTAGGGGATTAGTTTCGAAACCATGAGACGAATGTCAGAGCAAACGAATTTCTGCAACCAGGAGTGTTGCATTATAAAATCGGTTGAGAGCGAAGCTGATAAAATTGATCTAACCTGCGTCAAGTCCGGGTTTTCCCTGCATTTTAGTCACTTTAAGTTGCCCCTCCGATGACAACATCAAATACATCAGGTGGTAAACGTCAATTTTTATGGTGAGGAATGACGTCCAATTTGAAACCGATGTAAAGTTGCATTTCGTAAAAGTTTAGGATGGGGTGCCAATAAAAAAATAACAATACTTAATCGACTGGCTGTGACAAATAAAAATAGCTGTGTGTTTCGTTCATCAGTGGCGGCCCGGATCATAAACAGAGTTTTATGCTGAGTGGCGTGACCTGCCACGTAGAGACGAGATGCTATAATAGAATCCGTGTACGCCGACAGGATGTACCTATATAAAAATGACACCGAACTGTACGACCCTCTGAACGGGCACGTGGATAATTGGAACGACATAGAAGACAAGGGCTGGTAACTGTGGGGCTATTGACAGTGACATGTGCATTTATCGCATAACTCAGGCTGCGGGGCTTTTGAATGGCCATTCAATGGCAAAACATGACCACAAACAATGACAGTCATCAATAATCTCCCATTTCTCAAACCGTGGCCCTACAGAAGATGCTCTGGAGACGCGAGTGACGCTTCCGTCAGCACCACGCCAGAGCGCTGCGTCGCTACCGCTCTGGTGTCCTCCCGGGCGGCCCTAGAGCGACCTCGCGGGCTTGGTCGGGGCGAGGGGCGGCTCCGGAGGAGTCCGAGACACAGCACACGGCACCGGGGATGCTGAATTGGTTGGTGGAGCATTTCCCTAGAACGCGCATTTCATTGAGGCGGCCGTGAAGAAGCTACGCACTCGCTTGTCGCCACTGGACTTCACGTTGTTAGGTAAGCTGAAAAGTCACGGCCACGCGGACGAGCCAACGAGTCATGAAGAGCTCAAGGCCGCCTTCAAACTTGAGATGGGACGGATCATCGTCAACAAGATAGGGAAGCACAACCGACCACCCACGCCAGGTTCAGCTGTTGCGCATCGTGGCCCACCAGGGGGCCATCTGGAGCCTTTATATTCACTGTTTGACGGATGTGGAATATCCACTTTCTGTCAATGTCGTTTACCGTGCTTCGCCATTGAGTTGGCAGTCAAATGCTGCCACAGTCGCGATCGTAATAATAATGTTTTTTCAAAGCACACTTTCCATTCTGGAGAAACACGTGACGCAACTCCTATCTGGGCTGCTATTTGCTAAAAAAAGGTCACACACTGCAGGACCATTTTTTGCTATCCTGGTCCGCTTATGCTGTCCCATGAGAAACCCACCAACGTTTGCAGAATGGCCTAGCATACGGGGAAGTACGCGTCATGCAAACATGAGACACCCACAAGACACTTTTTGGTACAAAATTAGCATAGTTATAATATTTGTATGCTTAGATATCAACTGCATCAGCAGTGCAGAGGAATTCGGAGCTATTTATGCTCAGTATACCTTTTTTGCTCATATGCATTGGGGGTAGGGCTCGGAAGACTATGAGAGGTTCAGGACCGCATTGGGAAGGGGGCTCGATCCAAGCCTCCGAGCGCATACAAAGTAACGCCTCTGCATACAACTTGAGCGCTCCACACAGTTCCACGAAACGAATACGAACGTCTTCGGTATCCCATATGTCTGTCAACCCACGCAATCTCAATATGACTGACGCATCTTCTGCATCATAAGAACCTACTCTTGGTTGCGACACATGTTTGCTCCCATTCACAAAAGCGACTTCCTCTCCTTTCGAAGCAGGCCTCTTGCCATGACCACCGCAGCATGACCTCATCCGCCATGGTGAGTTTCTCCCACCGTAACCCATCGTCAACCATCCAAGATGTGTGCGGTACAGGGGCCGTGCCTGGGCTGCCATTGGTACAAGATCCCTCCCTTTTGCGTGGAAATGCGGAGCATGTCGTCACGCACCCTTTTATGGAACGCCAGCTACTGCACTGATCAAATTAGTGCTCAGAGGACCTTGACGCAACCGGGATTCGAACCCGGGACCCACGTGGTAGCCGAAGGCGTTAACCACCCGCCCTTTCGGGCCTCATGGCTAAGCCGTGTCCTGCACCAGGCACGGACATACTTTCGGCCATCTGATGAGCCTCAGCGGTGGCATAGCCACGGGGGGGGATGGCTTCCGACGGGGGAGGGGATGGCTTCCGAGGCTTTAGCCCCGCTCTGACAGGCTTCAGCGCAGCCATTCACCACGACACTGCTGAAAATTAAACACTGCTGAAACACTGCTGAAAACTAATTCCGGAGTCCGGTGATCAGGAAAACTATTTCCTAGTTTTAAATCTAGTTTTAATTCTATTTTTTTAGTTTTTAAATCTTATTTTGAAGGCTTTAAATCTGATGGACTCTAACGTGGATAACGTCACGTAAACCACAGCATTCGTAATTTAGTAACAAGACTAGCGGATAGCCAAATGAATGGGAACGGCCTGCAACTGAAATAATTGTTGAGGCAACAGGACAAAGCAACATCGGCAGCTCATAGATCCGCTAGGTACTGTACCTTTTAGCGTTTGTGGGGCTTGCTAGTCTGTTCGCAGTGCGTGAGTACAGTCAGTGGGGATGGGATCCGCTCGTAAAAATCAGCCTTCCCGTCACATGTTCCAGCTCTGCTCCTCGGCCTCAGGAGGCCCATCAGGCCCAGGAGGCCCTGCCTGATGGTGCTCCCAAGGCCGCCAGGGCAGGGCTGCCACATCGTGGCTTTTACCCACCTAAGATCCGCATTTTCTCGAGATCCGTTCTGGTATATTCACCTGACATTGTCTGTGGAAAACGCCGCATAGGGCTCATGAAGCGGCACGTTTGACCTTTGTCTCGAGGGCTTGACCTTTGTCCACATGAGAGTGTCCACCCGGCAGCCGCGTTTCTTCCGCCCTGGAGGGCCCTCAAATTTCAGGGTGGGCAGAAATGATGTCGATATCCCCCGTCATGATGGCAGAAATGATGTCGATCTCCCTTATCATGATGGCAGAAATGATGTCGATCTCCCCTGTCATGATGACAGGAATGATGTCGATCTCCCCTGTCGTATGCCAGGTCCTATACTGGCCAGGTTTGACGGTGTGTGGTCGGAGATGACTCGTGGCGCCAATACAACACTTGAGCTGAAATTTACCACATAAGCACAGATGTGCTTACTGACGATCCACAGTACTGGGATTTACGTAAGTTGCTCAGTGCGTTAGGGATGAACATTATTCACATAGATTAGGCGGTAGTATTAGCCTTATTACTCGGAAAAAGCCAGGAGAATGGGGATAAATGGTTGAAATAAATTGTAATAAATAGATAATTTCATGTTTTCCTGGATAAATTCTCCTGGTTTTTCAGAGCGATAAGGCTAATACTGCTGTATAATCTAAGTACTCGGGATAATCTCGTGTTAGCGCAAACAGGGGCGCAAACAGGGGCGCAAACAGATTCGGACGAGGCATGTAACGGGTGCCTGAGAATGCAGTGGCATATTAACAAAGCATGCAGTGCGTTATTGTCCGCCGAGGTATTAGTAGAGGTAGCGATTGGGTTTTCAGGGGCGTGAATTGCAGGCGCTATTTGTGGCATCAACAATGCGGAGATGCATATATACAGCATACCATGAGCGTCGGAACATCCCAGAAGGAGCTGGAATACTAATTTTGAAGTATGCTGTCGTCCTGGATCATCGTAAGGACAAGGACAAGCATTTTTAATTAGTAGATGCGTGAAGGGACGCCTGGCAACACGTCTTCCAAAGACAATGAGTTTTCTCCAGCAGCCATGTCTACTAAATTATTTTTCCTAAGCAGCAGCGCGAACGAAATATGTTTTCCAAATCAGCGATGTCCGCGAAATGAGTTTTCCAAAGCAGCACGTTTACGGAAGAACGCCCGCCAGCCCCGCTGAAATCGACCCAAACAAGCCGCCACCCCCCTGGGTGCGTTCCGTTGCCAGCGTGACCTGCTCCGTTGAAACGTGACCTTCGGTGACCTGTGACCTGTTCCGTTGACAGCGTGACCTGGAGGGGATGGCCCACCGCGAGCCTCCGCATCTGCCAGCCGCCGTGGAGCCATTCCCAGCTGAGCTCCGTCAGGTGCTGCAGCACGGCCTTCGGTACGCCGACAGCTTACTGGCGGCCAGAGGTCACCCTCCGCTGCCGCTCGACAGGTGGGTCAGAGGTCACTATCCGCTGCCTCTCTAAGGTGAAGGCAGGGGTCATCCACCACAGTTCCACTTCAGTTTCACGTACACGTTATCCATCCCTTCGCCAGTTTGCCAAGGTTTAGGTATTGTTTATAAAGTGAATGAGAAGGTTTTACAACTCGGCATTTACTGTTTTTGCCCTCATTGAGTCATAACGTACTGCACGAGCTTAATGTTTTAACTTTAAGGGAGTATTCCGCATTTATATGGGGTTTTGAGCTGAAATAGTCATCTTGAGGACCTTTCGATGCAGTTCACAGTCCTGCGCTTTCAAGGCCTAAATTCCTCTAGTTTCTGAGCTAAACCTGGCCTTCATGACGTCATAATAACGTCATTCAAATCCTACCATTTTATGAGCCATATGGAGATCAAGTCCGAGAAAAAAATACAGTGGTCGAGACGTTCATATCTAGTGTCTGTGAGCACGATTTCCCGATAAAACGGCAGTCAATTGGCTGCCACTCCATGTTGTGCAAGTGCGATGGCGTAATCAAACAGCGAGGAGCGTATTTACAAAACAGAAATATGGCGGTGTCTAGAGGCAGTGTTTTCTACTTAAAGGTGTATCATTAGTTATAAGTGAACCTGCCTTATTATACCTGGTGGTTACTTTAATGTCTTCAGATGAGAAACGTGTGCTCGTGGCCAATGACCGGGACTGACGTCATGCCGGTGGCTGAGGGCAACTAGCGAGGTGTTTCCCGCACGTTTATTAGCTGCACCCTGAACTCAGATACTGCCGTTAGCACTACGCCACATCATCAGGTACACCCTCTGACGCCATTTCCAGAAATTAGGTCTACACTCATAATGCGTCTTCCCGAAACTCACTCCCTGACCACGTCATCAGATACATACGCTGACATCACAAACCATCCTCAGGTACACACTCTGACACATGTTTCCGCCTTCAGGTACGCCTTCTGACATACGATCCCATCTCCCCGCCCCGCCCTCAGGTACACCCTAGGACACCGTACTCAAGTGTACTCTCTGACAAGCGCACGCTCCATCCCCAGGTACTCGGTCTCCAACGGCCAGCAGCTGGAGGACTGTTCGCCGCGCGAGGCGCTGTCCGCCTGCCTGAATCGCATCGACGCCATGAACGCGCACCAGGCCGACCAGAGCTGGACGCACTGGGTCTTGGACCAGATAACCAACCTGGCTGGCGAGCCAATGGCGAGGGACACGACCTTGGGTGTGGGTGCGCTCCGCCAACCTCCCCTGCTGGACGGTGTCGACGGCGTGCGGCCGCTGATGGACGACTGGCGCCTCTTCCAGTTGATCCGGAAAGAGCTGTGAACTGCTGGACGACTGACGCCTATCCCGGCTGAGCCAGAACGAGTTTTGAACTGCTGGACGACTGACGCCTTTTCCAGCTGGGTCGGAAAGTGTTGTGAGCTGCTGGACGACCAGTGGCACGGCTGACTGAGCAGGCGGGCGGCGAGGACCTCCGGCTACCGGTCTTCAGAGAGAGAGGGAGGGAGAGAGAGAGAGAGAGAGAGAGAGAGAGGAGAGAGAGAGAGAGAGAGAGAGAGAGAGAGAGAGAGAGAGAGAAAGAGAGAGAGAGAGAGAGAGAGAGAGAGAGAGAGAGAGAGAGAGAGAGAGAGAGAGAGAGAGAGAGAGAGAGAGAGAGAGAGGAGAGAGAGAGAGAGAGAGAGAGAGAGAGAGAGAGAGAGAGAGAGAGGAGAGAGAGAGAGAGAGAGAGAGAGGAGAGAGAGAGAGAGAGAGAGAGAGAGAGAGAGAGAGAGAGAGAGAGAGAGAGAGAGAGAGGAGAGAGAGAGAGAGAGAGAGAGAGAGGAGAGAGAGAGAGAGAGAGAAGAGAGAGAGAAGAGAGATGAGAGAGAGAGAGAGAGAGAGAGAGAGAGAGAGAGAGAGAGAGAGAGAGAGAGAGAGAGAGAGAGAGAGAGAGAGGAGAGAGAGAGAGAGAGAGAGAGAGAGAGAGAGAGAGAGAGAGAGAGAGAGAGAGAGAGAGAGAGAGAGAGAGAGAGAGAGAGAGAGAGAGAGAGAGAGAGAGAGAGAGAGAGAGAGAGAGAGAGAGGAGATCTTGCACGCTGGTTGTCTCCGCTCAGGCAATGAAGTCGCTGATCACCTTGCTAACCTGTTTTAGGACTGAGTCATAGAGGAGTCATCTGAATCATTAAGGAGTCATTTGAGCCATGACAGAGTTAACTGAGTCATCGAAGAAACAGCGTGCCATCGTACCAAATACTCTGGTGTATGCTCTAGAACTCAGTCCCATACGGTCACTGTGGTCAAACGTGTGAAAGATAGAATGGCGCATGTGCGAGTGTGTTGACATCTATTGAATTTGCTGAAGGGCTGACGTTTGCCATGCATTGGTAGCACTAACATATTTTTCGTGCTTGGATATGACCTCTAAGTGAGAAATGCAAATAAATAAAAAATATGATAAGTATAAAAATGTAGAAATGCGCTGAGGAGTGACTAGTGCTGACTAGGTGTTGACCGGAGCAGCCGCCAGGCCGTATACCTATCTGAAACGGAATAAATACCAGCAAGGTTTGTTACGGTTCTACAAAATACCATACTATGTAATGCGTACGAAGTCAAGCGATGCACCAAAATAATGTTATAAGCTGACAACAGCAAGTGTACCAAACCCATAGCACCCAGATATACAAAAGTGAAGAAAAGCGAACTTTTAGTATGCGAGATCAGCATTCACATCCCATGATCGCGATCACGTGCATCACGTGACCGTGTATCACGTATATCACGTGTACCACGTGTATAACGTATAGCACAATGACGGGTTTATACCTGTGGCGTTTATACCTGTATGTGCAATGACGAGCAATCAATTGTATAAGTTTAAGGTATATTGTTTAAGTGTATAAGTGTAATATATATTGTATAAGTGTATAAGTGTAAGGTATGTTGTATAAGTGTATAAGTTCTAGCCAAGTGTACAGGTATAAACTTATTTCTTTAACGTTCCCTCTGAAACTTATTTCTTTAACGTTCCCTCTGAAACTTATTTCTTTAACGTTCCCTCTGAAACTGGTGACGCTCTCATATATGTCATAAATTAAGACAGCCAAAACCCGGACGAAGTCCGAGTTTTCTGTGTAGGATTGGCAGCTCTTGATTTAAATCGAGAAAAAGCTCACCCGGTGGAATTTTTTGGATCTGACCCTGTAGTGATGGCCAGGAAACGACTCAGATAAGGCAGTCTTTTGTGTGATAGCCGACGTTTTCTCACGCTTTGATAGCACTACAGCCAAATATGTTTCAGAGCCCGAGACAACATTGGGGAGGGTTCAGGGCTATCACGAAAGAATACAAATTGACACTCGTCGATGCAAGGATACGGCTACAGACGCGGTTGACGGGTTTCATCTTGCGAATTGACTTTTGGTGAGAGCATGCGTGGGTGTAATCCATGGGGGGGGGGGCATGTCACCAAATTGTAATAAACAGGTGTTTCTTTCGTCCACTTTGCCCCTGGAATGATCGTTCTTGTCACGTTTCCACATTTATTATGTCATTTTCTTGTCCGGTTGTTCCCCCCAGATTTCAGTTTGACCCTGAAGTTATGATTTGCTGTTCCCCTAGTGTCAGAGGGGGGGGGGGGGGCTGCACCGACATGTCTGCGAGTGTCACATGGTCCAGTGATGAAGCATCTGTCGTGTTTAAAAACTTTCCTGAACACTGGAAAAACACTGAAAAAACTTTTCCTACCTGGTTTACCTGGATTACTTGCGACCAGTTTTTCAATACATTCCGCCTGAATGCCTACCTGTACGTGCCTCGGTGCCCCACATACCAGCCCCCGTATTCTATCTGCTTGTCCCGTAGATTGCTTCCCTTGCCACTCACACAATTACCAAATCATACGGGATATTTTGCGGCACAGTTTGCGGCACATTCATCAGAGTTGCATTTGACTTTCCGAAGGTGTTAATCGCACACACACACACACACACACACGCATTTATACACCTTTTTGGAGCTTGGAGGGGGCCATAGGCTTCGGAGGGGGAGGGGGGGGGGGGGGCAGAGCGCCTAACTCTTCGAAGAGGGCTCTCTGTTCTTCCCCCACCCACCATGTGGCTTCGTCCCTGGATAGTGGCACCACGTGCATATAAATCCAAGATTGTGTGGTCCTCGGGTAGGTTTTGGGCTAGACGCGAAAAGTTTCATGTGGTAAATGGACGCAGATCAAGACGTCTGGAACAATGATTAAGTTGCACCGACGCTCCAAATCAAAGCGAAAACTTACCTTTATGTTTTTCACTCAGGTATACCTTTTGGCAGTTTAGTGCTGCCATATGCGATATGTGATTTGGTTGCGCTGCTTTGCTTGATATGAAAATGGCTGGTTAGCGACAATCGCAGCGCAAAGCGCGTTTGGTGCGGTTTTGGGCGCTTGCCATTAGTGCATCACCGTGTGATGTTTTAGGGGGCGTGCGTTTCCGGTGCGAGTGGTGTGAGGAAGTGTGGCCAAGGTCGGTGACTACTTGTCGCTGTTTCTGATTTCATCCGTGTCTAGGGGAAGAACTGAGGTGCACGTGCAGGACGTTCTTGCGACTCAAGCCTCACGTCCAGCGCACTTCAGCACTGAACAGCTTACAAATGCTAGCTTTGCTGGAGTTTTTACGACACGCCAGACGTTTGTGATTGTGCATCAGTCAATTTCTTCCATTTGTGCTCAAAGTGCGGTTGCCTGCGTGCTAGTTTTTTTCTTTTGTTCACGTTTTATTTTTGAAAATGAGAATGGCTGGGATCAGGCAAGTTTGCTGGATGATATCAAGACCTAATATGCTTGAGGCTGCTGCACTTAGAAAGGTAAGACTACTTTGTATATACCACACACATATGACTGAGCCAAGGAATGAATGGCCACTCCTCATGTTCCTGGCTTTGTTTGTTACTGTCATATGAAATGTGTGGTTAGTTTGATTGACTACTGACACATTGATCTACATATGACCATTTAAAACATGCAGCCTTGGTAGCTTGCATATTTTTCTTGATGTATGCATGTAAATTTTTTAGTGGCTTTCTGCTTTGGGAAATTGCCACAGTAATACCTGCCATAGTATGTTGAGGAAGGCTAAGCTCAATTCAGTGAAACACGCATTAAAAGTGCTATCATCCAACAAATTATCTTAGTTAGATACCTAGGATGTTGTGCATTACTCTGGTTTCCATTGTCTTCTGATTCATGAGGCTGCTGGTAAATTCGATGGTAAATATATTTATCTTTGTCTGGGTTTATCAGGGTGCTCAAATAACTATGCTGTTTTATGTTCTGTTTTGCTCAAAGTTCAAAGGTGCTTATGTTAGTTCTTCTTCTGTAATTCATTGTGGTGCTTGAGTCTTATATAACAATATCAGTCATGACACAAGCAATGTTGGATCCCTGGTCAGAGGTCCTGGTTTGGAGACTACAAATTTTGCATAGTGAGTGTGCGAAGATTGAAAAACTCAGGTTGTAAAAATCACTTGGAAGTTAAGCATTAGCATGAATTCTGGGGATCCAAAAAATATGATATTTTAGTTCTTGTAAAGGGAAGTTTAGCACATCTCACCAGAAGGGGCACACATTTTCCTGAGCGTAAAAAGCCCAGCAGGTCATTTTTCAATAAAATAATTCAGCAGAGAGTTCAGCGAAGAATAAAACAATACTTTGCTTCCAGAATCTTGGTTAGTTACTTCTGTGTGCACTACTCCTTGCAATAGTTCACCCCATTATGAGTGTCAAAATGCTAATCATCAAAAATTATGTTTGGCCAATGTTCTTGGCAAGATATTCTTTTATTATGACACCAGCTGCTGATAGACATTTCAAAAGAATGTTTGCTGCTGCTTATGTCACAAATCATGTTTTATTTTGCCTACTACAATACTTGGCATGCCTGATGAACTCAGAAATGCTGATTTCATTGGGCTCATGTTAATCCTGGTGTACTTTTCCTTCCCATTGCTATAGCTGCTATGACCAGGCACCCCATTCACTCATGTATCCTCATCTGGTCAGAGTTAGCCTGATTTGCTAGGCTTGTGAAATTGCATGTGGCTGCTGCTCCGACGAGAACGGACGTGCGTGATGAGTTGTCACCGCCCCAACTAGGGTGAACATCTCTTCACTGCCCCAGCTAGGGTGAACATCTCTTCATTGCCCCAGCTAGGGTGGACATCTATTCACTGCCCCAGCTAAGGGGAACACCTCTTCACTGCCTCAGCTAGGGAAAACATCTCTTCACTGCCCCAGCGAAGAAATCATTCGTCACCGCCTCGATGAGCGCCATATGGCTAGGGTAGTCGGCGCGCCTTAAAGCCCATATCACCAGCATCAGCACCATCCCCGCCTCAGTCACCACTCTTTTCGTCGGTGCCCAGCACGTCAGCCTGTCCCGGGTCACTTAATCGCGGTGTGGTGCTGCTTGAAGCTCCGAGCCGCGTGGTCCTTATCATACTCCGCCGCTCGCAAATCCGACGACAGGATGTGGTCCTCAAATAACACCAGCC